GCAAGATCCAAGAGCTCCTTGCTAAGCTCCCAGACGGCATCTTTGGCGGCAAAGACGAAGCTGGTAAGGCCGAAGAGCTTGCCGACAACTCCAACGCTGCTGCGATGGGCAACATCCAGATCACGCCTAAGGAGCCTGAGGCATTTACTGAGCAGATTGGAGAGCTAGTCAAGCAGATCTACCCCATCATGGAGTTCCATGACGAAATCATGCAGTCCATCACCGAATTCATTGAGAAGATCCCAATTCTGCCAGATCTGATCGAGGAGGTCCAGAGCCAGGTCACTATCTTCGTCTTCAGTCTTCTTGCTCCCTACGTTCTGCCCATTCTTAGCCAAGTCAAGTCTGAGCTTGAGACGGGATCCAGCGAAGTCATTGCAAGCTCTCGTGAGAAGCAACACATCGTCTTCAATGACGATGACTGTACCGACCCGACCCACAGCATGCTTTCCAAGGATCATTTCTCCAACGTGCTCAACGAGCCTGCTGGTCGCGTAGCATCTGCCGTGCTGAGCTGGGCTGTTCCGCAAGTCGTCCAGTGCTGGGACGGTGAGGCCGACCCTGAGGAAACCATTGACCGCATCATCAAGGGCGTGTTCCACCACCCTGCGGTTGCTGCGGCAGAGAGAAACCATGGAGGACGGGGTGATCGCGGGGTCCAGGAATGCCACCAAATCATGTTTGACACAGTTGGAAAGTGGTGGAGCTCCAAGGACAGGCGCGCACAGGAGGAGTTCCGTGATCAGCTCAGTCGGGACGGCGTACAGAATCTCCGCAACCACAAGGAGAACGTGCACGATAAGGGCCATGGTTGTGGCAAACCTCTGGGTATGGCCAACAACTTTGGCTCTTCTGGCGGACAAGGTGGTGTCAACCCACAGATCCAGCAGGCTTCTGACCATGTTGGCAAGCTCGCAGGCGAAGCCGTTGGTGGTGGCGCCCTAGGCGGCCTTGTCGGTGGTCTTGTTGGCGGCATCGGCGGCTCTCTGCTTGGTGACGCTTTTGGTGGAAAGGAAAAGAAGAGCCACAAGGAGGAGAGCTACGGTCAAGACGGCTCTTACACTCAGTCCTACTCGGAGACTGGTCATCACCAGGCATCTTCGTATGGCGACAATGATCGCTATGGCCGCGCCGAGTACGAGCAGACACAATACCCGAGTGGTGGGCGTCGCGAGGAATACTCTCGTCAGGAACGGGACGACCGTGGCGGATCCTACAGCTACGAACAGCGTGTCGAGACTTCGAGCTACAGCAACACCGGTGGATATGAGCGTCGCGAGGAGCGTCGCGTCCAGCAGGGCGATCAATGGCGCTCTGAAGAGACACGCGAAGGGATTGATCGGTCTGGAGAATACTACTCCGAGGAGAGAGAGTAAGCGAATAGCTCAGTTCATGATGATGATAGGCTAACAGACGTGCAGACGACGTGGTAAGTCCAAGAAACACTCCGATGACGACGATTCGAACGATTCGGGCGGCGAAGATTCATACGAGAAGCGGATGAAGAAGGAGCGCAAGAAGCGTGAGAAAGAGGAGAAGAAGCGCCATAAGCACAAGAAACACGGCAGCGGCGATGAGGATTCGGATGATGCTGACAAGCGTCGATCAGGATCTGGTGAACACAGGCGTCGCTCTCGCTCCCGTGAGCATGAACACCGTCGCAAGAAGAGCGGCAGCCGCTCGCCCCAGCGCCAGTCCGGAGGATACTCGCAAGGCTACGGCCAAGAGCAGCGCTACGGCGAACAGTCAGGCTACGGTCTTGAAGAGCCATCCAGGTACGGACGTCAGGAGTACGGCGGAGATGCTGGAGGCTACGGCCGTCAGCAACCGCAGTATGGTGCTGACTCTTATAGCACTGGTGGATACGGTCGTCAAGAGGAGTCTGGATATGGCCGTCGCCAGGAAGAGTCGAGCTACGGCCGTCAAGAGTACGTTGGCGAATCTTCTCCACGGGGCTACGGTACTAACCCTTACAGATCCAGCGGATACGGTCGTTCGGAGGGCCTCGAATACGGTGGTGAGCGTCCTGATCAATCTTACGGCGCCTCTGGTGTCCCCGGTGGTTTCGGTGAAGAGACTCAAGGCTATGGCCGCCGTCGTGACGATGAAGATGAATACGGCCAGCGAAGGCAGGAGTATGGCTCCGGTGGTTATGGTGAGGAGGGGTATGGAAGGCGTTACTAGACATGACGTCTTTTCCGCGGGGTCTTAACGTGGCTTGGGGTTGCTGGGCCGTGTCCGGAGCACCATGATGACTATGCTGTAGTACCTGCATGAGCCGCCCAACTCTGCCGATAGACTCACCAAATGAACATCATCGTGGCTGAAATCACCAATGCGCTTGATTATATGATGGCTTCTACAGTGAACCGTTTGATTATGCGCTTGAACTATGCTCTCCTCGTATAGAGTGGACGACTCCCTTGTCGGCAGGAACTGGAATGCAGATGGTGATATATGCAAGTGGGCTTTGCACCCTGCAACAGTGCATGCGCTATAACCTTCAATAGTATCTAGCAGTCCAGATTTTGTTACCGGGGAGGAGGAAGCAGCATTCCACTTCATCCCTATCAGTGGCACTTTCATGACGTGCCATAGCAACGCTTCAGTAAAGCAGGAGACCGTGCGAAAGGAAAGATTTGTTTGGCCAGATACCAAAAGTGAAAATGGTTCGTGGGTGTCTGCCACAATTTCCGGGTGAGCAGGGAAACTCATCCTTTCAGATGATATACTGCGAATGGAGAGGGTGCGTGTGAGAAGTGGATCCGACACAGGTGAGCGTTGCGGCGGAGAAAACACGCTAGTGCCGAGCTGGGACCAGCCGGATTCCCAATGTTCAGCGACTCGTAAAGACGCGACAAGTCGACCAATTCCGCTTCGCTGTACTCGCCTTTCTTCTGCTTCTTCTTCCGTCGCATCGCGCAACATGACGAGCATCGACGACCTCTTCAAAAGTGCAAACGGTTCGGCAAAGCGCAAGTTCGAGAACCCAAACGAAGCCGACCCGACCCAATCGTACAAATCTGCAAAGCTGGACGCAGATGGCGATGTCAAAGCCCCAGCGCAAGCCTCGGTAGCTGACGAAGATGACGACGACGAGGCTGGCCCCTCGTTACCGCCCGACTTCGAGGACGGGCCCGGCGACGACGACGAAGGACGCTTCTTTGGCGATGGCCTGGACGAGAATGCGCGGGACGCCATGGAGTACATCGATGCGCAAGACGGCGATGGAGCTATAGGCGAAGAGAAATACGACGTGCCGTGGGTGCGCAAGCTGGCGCTCAACTTTGAGAAGAAGGTCAACAAGAACGCATCGCTGCGCGCAAAGTACGAGGACGACCCCACCAAGTTCATGGAGTCGGAAGGCGATCTGGACGAAGGCATAAAGGCCCTCAGCATACTGTCGGAGCACCCGGAGCTATACGAGGAGTTTGCGAAAAGCACAGCGGCGTCCAAGTTGGTGGAACTGCTGGCGCATGAGAACACAGACATCGCAATCGCAGCAATCGAGATGGTCTCGGAGCTCACAGACGAAGATGTTGGAGGGGAGCAAGAACAATGGGATGCGCTCGTCACCGCCTTCATGGAGGCCGACCTGCTCAGCCTGCTCGTATCCAACTTCTCCCGCTTCGATGAGACCGACGAAGCCGACGCATCGGGCGTCTACAATTCCCTCAGCGTCATCGAGAACCTCCTATCACAACCCACATACACAGACATAATAGGCAGGGAGACAGCTCTGCTAAAATGGCTACTGGACAGGATACAGAAGCCCGAGAAACCCACAACACAGAACAAACAATACGCCTCTGAGATCCTCTCCATCCTCACACAATCCTCGCGACCGAACCGAAACCACGTAGCCGACGCAAACGGTGTCGAAATCTTCCTCACAAACCTCGCGCCGTACCGAAGAGACGACCCAGAAAAGGACAGCAACGAGGAGGAATACATGGAGAACCTGTTCAATTGCCTCTCATCAGTGACAGAAGAGCCTCTCGGAAAAGCCAAATTCCTAGAAGCAGAAGGTGTAGAGCTCTGTCTCCTCTTCGTCCGCGACGGCAAGACCAGCAAGAGCCGCGCCCTGAAAGTACTAGACCACGCCTGCGGCTACGCAGAAGAAACAACACCACCACAAACCAATGGCAACACAAGCGCAAAAGGCAAAGAAGCCGCAGCAGAAGTCCCCGAAGCCACAAACAGCGCCACAGCCGTTTGCACCAAACTCGTCGACAGCCGCGGCCTGAAACCTCTCTTTAGCACCTTTTCCAAAACGAAAAAGTCCCACGACCCCCAGCAAACCGAACATATACTCGGCATCTTCGCCTCACTCCTCCGCTCCTTACCGGGCAACTCCGATACCCGTTTCCGCCTCCTAGCCAAGTTCCTCGAGAAGGACTACGACAAGATACACAAACTGGTTGAATTGCGCAGAGGCTACGTTACCCGGTTATCTGCTTTCGATAGCAAGTTAGCAGAGAAGAAGAAGGCGTTGCGGATAAGTGGGAAAGATGAGCTCGAGGCTTTTGAGCTGGAGAATATTCCAGACCGGTTGAGTGAGGGGCTGTATTGTCTGGAGAGGATCGATGCTGTGTTGGCCTGGCTGGTTGCTGAGGACGGGGGTGCCAAGGTGGCTATTGTGAAGGCACTGGCAGAGAGGGATGAAGGATTGGGAGACGTTAAAAGGACGTTGCAGGCGCAGCTTGACGGCGTGATGGCTGTCGAGCCAGCTGAGAGGGAAATGCTTGAGACACTTGTGGGATTTTTGGTGTAGATATATTACGGAAGCAAATGCCAGGAGCAAACGCACGGGATGAATGTTTCTGGTGTTCAAATATGACTTTTCCATGCGAAGCCCTATGGAGGCACCTACCGAGACCTGAAGACTTGAAATATATTCATGCAAATGCATCGCTGTCGCCACGCTTTTCTGCTCCTCAACCAATGCACATACGCGGAAGCTCCCCATAACAATATGATTCCTTCATTTCACCCATGCTCTAACCCTCCGCCTCAATCTCGTAAGCATTGGACTTGTGTTTGGGCTCAAATTTGAAGTTAGGGTGAGCAGGACCCAAGAACATCTCACTGCAAGTGCGTTAGCCAAAATACCTTGCCACGTCACAAGAAGAACATACCTGAGCTTGATCCAGTCCGTGTAGTGCTCGCTAGCCATCAACGTCTCCAGGTCATTCCTACCCCTGAACCTCGGCGGGCGATCCTGGATGTTCGGGGGCAAGTGTTCCAATAGACCAACTGGCACATAGCGATGCGCAAAGCTCAGCCATTCGAGGAGGAAACGACGAGTCGTGCCGATGCCCATCTCATCAGAACCCCAAGTCTGCAGACCGTACTTGGTAAACTTCTCGATATAGGAAAGGCGCTCCGATGCAGACTTGTCAAGGTACTGGCCCTTTTCAATCTCTTCGAAGAGCCAGGGTTTGATAAGGGCACCACGACCGACCATGACGGTATCAACCTTGGCGTTTTCAAGATGGTTGTAGTAGTCCTCGTGCGAGTAGCAGTCGCCGTTGCCGACAAAGTAGACATGGCCGCCGTTTGCGAGATCACGGGGATCAGCCTCGGCGGCGGTATCCGTCTTGGCCGCTTGTTCTTTGCGGAGTCGATTAATGAGGGCGGAGCATTCGGCGATGTAGGACCAGTCTGCGCTTCGGGAGTATCGCTGCTGCTTACTCCTGCCGTGGAGGGTAATGGCTGCGATACCCGAGAGACCCTTTCCGGACTCTACGGCTTCGTGGCCGCCAAGTACGAGACGCTTGATGAGTTTTTGCGCAGTCGGGTGGTTGTCCTTGGTACCCATGCGGATCTTGACGGTGATGGGGACCTCCTTGGATACATAGGTCATTCCACGGAGGATACTCTCCAGTTTTGCTTCGCTATCGAGTAGTGCGGAACCGCTTCCCTTCTCACAGACGAGGTTGATGGGGCATCCGCAGTTGAGATCGATAGCGCGCAGCTTCGGGCAGTACTCAGTCAGTACTTCAACCGTCTTTGTGGCCAGCCATGGCTTGTTCGCCGCGATTTGTGCGCCGAACTTGAGATCAGTCGAGTTGTCGTAGCCCTGGACAATAGTGTTCTTGCCCAAGAACTTTGGAGGAGTTACCTCAGATTCGTGGGCTTTGAGAAGCGGCCATTCGCCCTTGTCACCTTGGATCAATGGCATACCCATGGCCATCTCGCTCCAAGTCACTTGGCAGCCAAAATCCACGCAGAGTCGGCGGTACGGCATGTTGCCTTGAGTGGTGAGGGGTGCGAGCATTGGTGTCTCGGGTCCGTAGTAGAGCCTACGCTTCTCAGATGGCCTGAAGGGCGCCTCCACAAACTCCGCTCTGCGCGCCTCCTTCTCCTCCTTGAGAGCGTCCATGTCCATCTGAGCTGCATCGAACATTTCTCTTTCGTTGCGAGCATTGGTCTCAATCCATTGCAGGTACTGGTCAGAGCGCGGGGTCCCAATCTTCCGTCTCGATAAACCAATCTTGATATCCTTTGGCACGATGTTGACCACTTCAGCCTCTGCTTCTTCGTCGAAGCTGGAGAACTTGGATTTCCGGTCAGCATCTTCTTTCAGGACTAATTCTTTCCGGCCGTCTTCTAGGGTGCGCTCTTCGGAATGGCTACCGACGAATCGACACTTCCAGCCGAAGTGGCAGAATCCCTTGACGGCATAGACTGGACATTGGCCATCGAAGGTAGTAAGATCTTCTCGTCGGCCTTCCTTCAGGTACTTGCGGATATCGTGTTCGAACTTGCACTTCTCGCCAAACGGACACTCCTTGGGTGAGAATTCATTGTAGGCTGCGCGAGTACCACAGAGCGGTATCTTGTCGCGCGAGCTGCCGAAAGTGCGGCTGGTGTTTTGGCCCTTTTGCTTTTTGTCTTTCTTGTTGTTCTTGCCCTTTCTGGGGCCATCGCGAGCATCAGTCTTTGGTAGGCCTTCAGATTTGTGCTCAGCATCGGCGCCCTCAGCTGCATCGTCGTCAATGACTCTGTCCTTGGTGGCGGCCTTGTTGTTATCCAGTCGTATCAGGAATCTGATGTTCTTAGCATGCGAATTACTTCAAGCGGGTGGCGCATGTACTCTGCCTTGATGGGTGCGACACCCTTGACTCGCTTCACAGAAGTATCCGCATCCTCAATGTCTTGACTGCTAGTCCTGTTCCTCTTCTTGGGGCTCGCAGGTGGTTCGGACTGCACATCGACTGTACCATTGCCGCCATTGATGCCATTGGAGACAGCACCGTCTGGGGCCGAATGGTCGGGCTCGAGCTTGGTTCCTTCACCTGTCGTCATTTTATGCAAGAAAGGCGGCCAGGCTGAGAATAGGCGTGCGTGGTTGGCGTTGCTGCTCAAAAGAGAAAAGCACTCGCTCAAATTGTGAGGGCGAATGCGGCTAGAAGAGGCTAGACCGGCGGCCCATGCGCTAGTGAGCAAGTTGGGAAAGCTGCGATCATACGTCACAGCCAGGCACTTGCGGCTCCCCTACATCACATCGCGTTTCCCGTTCCCACTTTCACATCAACCCTCCTGCAATCCTTTCCGGCCCTCCGCACGATTCTCATCTTCCTGCTGGTCCTTTGCACGCACACGCAAGCCAGCTCCTCCCAGATCCATTGTTGATCCAGCTCAACCCCGCTCCCACACAAACACACACCCACCAGACAATAATACCACGTAGCCATCATGACGCTCTACTACAGTCTGGTAAGCAGCCCCTCTCCTTGCAGGAAAGCAGCGATCGAGAGAGATGCCAATGGTGTCGTCTCGTCACTGCTCGCGTGCTCGCCTACGCGCCTCACGTTACAACCGCGTATGTGGCCTTTGTGCTAACTCTTCATCTTCTAGGTCTTCCTCCTCCTGGTGACGGAGATGCTCATCTTCTGCGCCCTCATCGTCCCTCTGCCCTTCACATGGCGCCGCAAGCTCTTCACCTTCATTTCGGAGAGCCCTATAATAGCAAAGCTGCAATATGGCATGAAGGTATGGGAGTCAATGTATTCACGTGGAGGACCCGTCTGACATGCGTAGATTACGTTCATCTTCATCCTGATCCTGTTCATTGACAGTGTCAACCGCGTGTACCGCGTGCAGATTGAGCTCTCTGGCTCAGACGACCAGGGCCGTGGATCGTAAGTTAAAGCATCCCACCTACAAAGTGCTGTACTAACGACACAAGAAGCGTTGCTGCTGGAGGCATCGAGCGCATGGAGGTCCAGGCCCGCAAGTTCTACTCGCAGCGCAACATGTACCTTTGCGGTTTCACCCTCTTCCTGTCGCTCATCCTCAACCGTACCTACGTCATGATCCTCGATGTTCTCCGTCTCGAGGAGGAGGTCAAGACCCTCAAGGGCGACCCCAGCACCAAGAAGGGCTCTTCGCTGAAGAACGTTGGTGGTGCTGGCGAGGTCGGAGCTCTCAAGGAGGAGCTTGCTGCCAAGGACCGCGACATGGCGAACCTGAAGAAGCAGGTTGAGAACATGCAGAAGGAGTACAACCGCATGGGCGACCAGGTCTCTGGCAAGCAGTAGACGCGTACGAATGGCTTCGAACGGACACGGAATGCAGGCTACGGCTATCCTGTAGGACGGCAGGCGCACGCCCGGGAGAGGTCGTCACTACAATTATACTTTCAAAGTTGAAGTTTCAAGGGCTCTATGCTGGTGGATGCCACGCATACGACTATTTTATCTTTGTCCTCTGGGTGTTGCGGTGTGGTAACTAGTTTTGAGGGGGAAGGAGAGCTACAGTGCTGACGTGACTTTCGCATATGGCTCAGCAGCAATAGACAGTAAACACGATTGAATTCATATGCTCTTTGATCAGTATCGGACCTTGTTCGGAAAGCTTCTTCTGTTATTGCTTACGTTGGGACCTTCGGACGTCTTGGACCTCGGGAGCTTGCGCGATGACAAAACACCCCAACTAGTAGCATGTGAAAGCTAGCGCAGTGCTTCAGATATCCCGAGCACTTGAGGCTTATCAAGATTTCGCATAAAGGCAGTGGAGGAGCATACAAGCGTTTACCAGTCTTACCAAAGGCCCAATTGCATATCGCTTCAGCTTCACTTGCCATTGGTTCCGTGCAGCCACAGCCAAGATGTCGGGAAGCAGCCAGACATCCCCGCGCTTCTTCAACTATCCGCGCCCCAAACCTCACGACGCGCCATACAAGGCCCCGCCGCCCGGAAAGAACCCCGTAGTCAAGGGCGCCTTGCTGCACTATCTTTCCAACCTGTTAGTCAATCCACCATTCTTTTGTCACCAAGCTAACAGCTCCAGAGTCGCGACTGTACCGCTAGTCCCTGGCATCCTGTGGAGCAATGCCGGCTTCAGCTCCTTGCGAGAATGCAGGCAACTCGACGGCATCGACCCGCGCTATGATCCCACCGTAATCCCGCTGCCTGAATCCGACGATGCTCCCCTCAACTACACCGACAAATCCAACTTTCGCGCATCGTACCCGCACACGTCCTCCAACCGATTCTACTCGATCAAAGACTTCCACGATGCCTACTCGAGCGGCACACTCACACCGACCGACGTAGTAGAACACCTCCTGCCCCTCATACGCAGAGATGTTGCACAGCGCTCGCCCTATTCGACAGCCTTCATGGACAGCAAAGTAGACATGGTTAGACAAGCTGCTGAAGCCTCCACGCAACGGTACAAGCAGGGGCAGCCATTGGGTATACTGGATGGCGTGCCGTTCGGAGTCAAGGACGACCTTAAGGTCACGGGATACAAGCATTATGTCGGCACCACTTACGACTACAGCCATGGAGGAAATAAGGAAACGAGCTGGTGTGCGAAGATGCTTGAGAAGCAAGGCGCGGTCTTGGTCGGCACGCTGACTATGCATGAGATGGGAATGGGTGAGTGGAAGCGTCGGTTCTGTGTTTTCATGGAAGATACTGACTGGTCTAGATACCACAAACAACAACCCTAACTGGGGCACACCGCGGAACCCATACAACAGTTCATACTACCCAGGAGGCTCATCGGGAGGCGCTGCGTCTGCAGTAGGGCATGGCCTCATACCCTTTGCTATTGGATCAGATGGAGGCGGCTCAGTCCGAATTCCCAGCAACTACTGTGGTCTATATGGTCTGAAGCCATCGCACTCCCGTGTCTCCGTCGCGCCCATGCCAGACGCCGGGAAATCCGTCACCGTTCGCGGGCCCCTCGCGAGCAACATGTCAGATCTCGAGATCGCATACCGCGTCCTTGCACAGCCCGACCCATCAACATACCCCTCATCAGAATTCAACCCACCCAAGAAGCACACTGGGCCTCGAAACAAAGTACTAGGTGTATACAAAGCCTGGATCGACCGCGCAGACCCTCCAGTACAGGAGGCCTGTCAATCAGCCCTGCGATACTTTGAGTCAGAACTGGGATACCAAATTGTCGATATCAGCATCCCGCTGCTGACGGAGGGTCAGCTGGCTCACGCAATGACCATTATGGCCGAAGGCGCAGCAGGACACAGGACGTCCATATACGACCTCACACCCGCCAACAGGATTCTCATGAGTGTGGCGAAACAGACCCCAGCAACTGACTTTCTGCTTGCCCAGCGTCTGCGCAACGTTCTCATGGAACATCTTGCCGACCTTTTCCGCAAACATCCTGGTCTCATCATCGTCACGCCCACGACGCCAAACGCGGGCTGGCCTATTGATGAAGCTGAACTTTCACATGGGGTGACGAACGGCAATATGCAAATCAGGAACATGGAGTATGTGTGGTTGGCGAACTTCACAGGAATCCCCTGCATACAATTCCCTATTGCATATGTAGATGGCGTAAAAGGTACTGGCAAGGTCCCGATCGGGCTGAGTGGGAATGGAGAGTGGGGAAGTGAAGATGCGCTAATTGAGTTTGGGTTCGATGGAGAGCAGTGGCTGGTTGATGGATACAAGGGTGGGAAGGTCATGCCAGAAGGGTGGGTGGATGTCATGAAAGCTTAGGAGAGCGAGTCGACTTTAGTGTATGAATAAACACCGCTTGGCCAACTTCTCAACGTGTGTTTGGGACACGTTCTCGAATAACATATCAAATCCGTTCTCTTACCTCTTCCTGTTCTGACGGTACTCTATCTCATTGATCCAGGGAATGGTTATGACTTTCCAACACGTCTGGTTCCAGTAGCCGGTGTGGATGCCTGATATACTGGAATATAGGTATGAATTCATGCTACCTTAATATTTAGCAGTCAAGAAGTCTCCAGTGGACGCAAGGGGCAAGAAGATCTTCAAGTTGGCGATATGGTCAAGCGATATCTTGCCGCAGCCTATGTGTGAAAATTCCGGCTTCGGTGCGGGTGTAGCATCCAAGGCATCGACGATGTGGCATACTCCATTACCACTTTTTACATCAATCAAACGTAGGTACAAGTCTCCAATGCCCGGATCGGAGGGAAATGACTCGATCCATGCATATACAGCATCATGGATCAGACGATGACCAGACAAGCTCATGTGCGGACACGTACACCTAGTCACCACACTTCATCTGCAACAACCCGTTGGCGACTGCAGGAGACCGTGTCAACTGCGTGTCAGTAGTGCCTTCCGCAGATCTACAGAAGAGGAAGTCGACGAGACGAAAGTGGAAACTTTCGAGAGCTCCATGGAAGCATACGTGTTCAGCTCCGCAAGCACAGTACCGAGATTGACATGAATGCCGGCGCATGTGAGCGGTTGTTATCGTGGTATTTGCGTGTCGTCGGAGCACCAGGGCAAGATGGGGAAGTCGTGATGCAAGGCTGATAAAGATCGTCGGCGTGTTCCCCTCACCGCACCGATACCGAAGATGAACAACAACAACAATACAACGTGCCCACCGAGCGCGATGGCCTGCCTTTGGCTTGAGCTCATGAGCTTGTCAATCCCAATATTATCGATAGCAACTAGCACTCCCACCCATCTCGCTTGCTAAGTTGATGTCGCGGAACCCCCTCCCCAAGCGCAGGGCGGCCAATTTCGCCCCCACGAATCATAATATCCGCACCTTAATTTCCCACTTCCCTCGACGGGTTCCGCACCAATCATGGCATGCAAGACGCTACGGACCAACACCCGAGTCGAGCATGGTAGAGAGTTTCAAGATTTATTCCCATAACCTTCCTCCACCTTGCTTTCTACCTTCCGGTAACAACTCGGCAAGTGCGCAAGTGCGATGGATGCACATGTGAGCCTTCCCACGGCAGAGCAGAGTGGAGTGCACCTGCATTACCGCAGCGTGGGCTTAGCGCACAAGTCAGACACATGAGATCTGTGACACGACGTTGC